GGAATAGTCCATTATGTTATTATGGGTAAGGTCCCATAACATTTATCGAGTAGGATAGATAAACACTATAATATAATATGAAAAACTTCCCAATTTATAGTGAATATTAGTCTGATAGGATTTGGCAAGATGCAAGTATATGTAGATTCAAACGTCTGTGGGAACTTTAGACTATTACACCACATCAATCTTTATTAAGAAAAAATGGTTTCAGAATAAATTTGGTATGAACCAACTGATGTTATTGAAATTTCAGAACATACATATATTTATATAAGTAATGAAGGGCAGCGAAAACCGGATTCCTTTGAGAAAAAAATAGAATAATGCAGAACGTTTATTATTAACCAAACGTATATTTACAGATAGAAAATGGTTCAATCAAATACGCAAGAACAGAAATAATCGGAAGACAAGGTTGTTGTTTTTCAATAGATTTATTGAGTGACAGAACTAATTTCACCTCGGAATTAATTACAACTCGGAACTAATTTCAACTCGGTATTAATTACTACTTGGAACTTATTTCAACTCGGAACCAATTTTATCTCAGTTATCAATTTCCGTGAATTCCTAAACAAAATGCAGTTAGTTGGTGTTATTTTTTTTAATTTAGCCGTAAAAATCCTTAGTAGATAAGATAATTCAGAATTCATCATTTCTGCAGCTTTCATTCCTTTTTTGTTTCCAATGAATAAAGTTTACTTTTTTATTTACTTTTATTCATTTAAATTTAATCCAATAAAAATGAAATTTTCTTTGTAGCAAGAACAGTAGATTGCTTAGCTGTTTTTTTTTTGTTTTTTCAAATACTCGCAATCAAAAGATGTCGTTATTGATCAATTTTTTAAGAAAATCAATAAATTATATTTTAATTTCGTTTGAAAACTTCACAGATTTATTGAAATTGAAATTTTCCGAGTTCAAATAAGAGACGTTCATTCAGTACATGAGTCAGAATGAAACAGGAGAGAAATTTGACCTGTGGATGTTCACTGAATCCTCACGTTTCCAATGTGATCATGTCTGCATAGCGGTTCAAACAATTTCAAAGTTATGAAAAGTGTATTGAAATAAAAATGGAATTATTCTTTTATGAGGTAATGCACACTTAAACTTAAATGAGTTATATATTCATAGACTATCAAGGCAAACACTTTAACGCCTATTCAATAATTACCTGAATTTATATTAATAAAAATTATTTTAAAAATGTGAATTGTATATTAGGTCGGTTTACCTAGTTTCAGAGTAAAGATTGCATATAAATTATTCAATTCTGAAAGCTTTAATCAATGAGTTGATTTGTACAAATTCTTAACTGTCTTCTTCCCCCTTTTAATATTAAAAATTCTTCCTATTTTCTCTTTTCTCTCTCTTCCTTTTTTTTAATCCTTGTGTCTGAATAAATTGGACACTATTTATTTTTGTAAAAAATGGTTTGAAGAGATGGACGTGTGAGTCCACGAAATAAATTATCACCTGACCGAATGGATGTTTTTTAAGGATTCTGTATTCATTATAATATTGCACTGTTCTTAGATTGAGCTCTTTATATCCACAATGGAATTATCCCTGCTTATTATCAAGTGATAATATATATATATATATATATATATATGTGTGTGTGTGTGTGTGTGTGTGTGTGTGTGTGTGTGTGTGTGTGTAAACGTTCGCAAGTGTTAATGATCTAATGGAATCTAATTTCATAAAATCGCCCACACTTTTGCTAGGATATGTATGTATTGGGATTTAAAAGAGAATATCCACGACTGAAACATTATTCTAAATTAATCGATTATTCGGAGAGGAATGCAGAAGACGCCATCTAAAAATCAGTGAGTGAAAAGAACAAGAATAAAATAATCATTTTGGACAAGCATTAAATTGTAGTTTTCCGTATTTTCGTTAAAAGAAGACATTCATATGCAAAATAAAGCGTTCTGTTTACAGTATTCCTCCAAATTTTAATCTCAATTTTAGTAAAGGAAATTAATGCATGTTTTTTTAAAATAACCGATATAAAAAACGGAATGAAAACTTTTAAGGAAAGAAAATGTGTAATTTTCAGAAATTCTTCGGATGTATTCACAGTCACAGTATCCATAATATTTTCATCTTAGCTGAATGTCCCAGCGTCATTTCTGACCTTTGGTAAACTAAGTCAGTAAATTGTAATCTTGATTATATTATTTAAATGTAATATTCTAAATAAGTTTAATATGTTGCAGGCGCCAGAAGAATTAGAGTTGATATTTTCTATAAAAGACACATTATTATTATTAATGGAGCTTTATTGCTTGCATGTTGACATATTTCAAGTAATAAATACAATTTAATTGATAAAATGTTAGCTTAGCTATATATATATATATATATATATATATATATATATATATATATATATATATATATATATATATATATATGGGAATACAACATATATTTTCATATATAAAGAATTTTATGGGAAAAGTGTGACGAAGTGTAAAAACTTATCCACTTTCTCATATTTTCCCCCAACATACATAAAACGTGTGCGATGGATAAATTGTCGTCTAAAGTACACAAAAGTGAAAACACATATATTTACCAGAATTACACGAATATACATTGAAGTAGTGAAGAGTAAATGCATTCAACAAAATCACCATTGGCTTCAACCAATACAACCAGATGACTTCTTACTCTCCTGCATCTCGTATGGACGATCTCTTTGTATAAGTTGGAGAATGCCGCCATAATCCTTGCCTTCTGTTTATCGTTGGTGTTACAAGGAGTTTTGTTGGTCTCTCGCTTATCTGCGTCCCACACATAATAATCAATGGTGTTGCAGTCTTACGATTTAGGTGGTGATATGGTCGCAAAAATTCTCTGACAGCCATGATTTGTTTCTCCTGCTTGTGTGGCATAGTTCAGTGTCCTGTTTCGAGACATATTGTCTTCCAGCAGACACCCTCATGTCCCATTCAGCAGTACCTCCTGAAGGCACTTGATGTAGTTCTCCGTGTCGAGTCCGATATACTTGTGACCATATGTAAGAGGGGATGTGGTCTCAGAAATTGTCTGCCAGCAGTGACTATGTACTCCTGCTTCTGTGACATAATTCAGAGTCCGGTTGCTAGGTATATGGACTTTCCGCGGCCAGTTTCTTAGCCCATGGGAGCACTACCTTCTCAAAGTACTTGATGTAGACCTCTGTATTGATTCTGAGTCCGTAACCATCAACTTCGGGAGTTCTTTTCTTATCAGAACGAGCAGAGTGAGTTTTTCCTAGCTGTCGTACCTCTGTATTCACCATTAGACACAACCAACCCTTTCTGAATCTTCTGATTAAAACCCAAACACTCTGAAATGTTCGTAGTGGAGCATCCGGCGCTTGTGTCAAGCAGTACAGCATGCCATTTCCAAATTTCTTCCGGGGTGAATTGCGTTATGGTGCCTGATTTCTCACAGACGTGCCAAACTGACTCTACTATACTGTGCTGTCGACAAATAGAAAAAAACAAACAACGCGCATGCGCGAGATTAAACATATATTACCAATCGCACCCTCTGTGCGGGCCTATACATACATACATACATACATACATACATATATATATATATGTATATATATGTATATGTATATATATATATATATATATATGTGTATATATATATATATATGTATTTTTTTTCTAAAAATTAATGGATTTTATTTTTTAATATGACATATTTATATTACTTCGTCTGTTACGTTTAGTGAATTTTAGTATTTCAGTAGTCTCTCAGTTGTTTTTAAATATCACTTATTTCATCTACCGGCTTGAATACTCAAGAGAACTTAATAAAGAAAAATTTCGCTCCGGTTGGATCTGAAACTGTGTTCCACTTTTTGCAAACAGTGCGTCTACGCAAATAAGTTTATCCACCAAAAACCACGTTCGAGATAATAAAATAAACGTTCGAATTTCAAAATATATATATATATATATATATATATATATATATATATATATATATATATATATATATATATATATATATATATATATATATATATATATATATATATATTTAAATAAGTTTTTGTGGCACAGAATTTAATAATAGCTAGGAAAGACCAATTTTATAAGGCATTTTTAAAAGCTAAAAAAACAAAAACAAAAAAAAACAAATGGTTTCGTCCCAAGACATATCAAGTTTATTTTTCTGGGAATAGAAAATTTATAAAAGCGTGTAAATTAAATTAACGAATGGAATGGAAGAAAAAATAATTGAATTTCAAGAAACTAGGGTCCAATAACATTCAGACCCAGTAAGCATTCCCTCTGTTTACAAAGGGAAGGCTCATGGGATCTGATATACAAGGACTCTAGAACCTTGGGGTGAAATGTGGAGTGGGACCTAGATAAAATCAAAAAACGGTCCACACTAAAATTAACCACACATTTCCTACTATTTATTATATGCTCAGGAATAGCAGAGCCAGAACTATTGGTTATTTGGCTCTTCCTGGCAGACCAATTCATAATCCTGGGCGGGGGATAGATGTTACTTTATTCTCGAATATATAGAGTGATTTTCTAAGCTTAACTTAGATGTGACAAGAGGCCGACAATATGGAACGCCCAGTGAGGACCTAAATCACTACTCAGTTGTAATTGCGCTAGCAACGCAACCTCGCTAAATATTACAGTACGTCGAAGTAACATGTGTATATGTGTGTGTGTGTGGAGAGGGTGGAGAGGAAGAGTAATTGAGAGACAGAAATACATATAACGAGGTCTATATATATATATATATATATATATATATATATATATATATATATATAAAATTGTTAAAGTATTAATTTCCTCAAACCAACCAATATCTATATATATATATATATATATATGTGTGTGTGTATCTATGTGTTTATATATATATATATATATATATATATATATATATATGTATGTATGTGTGTTTGTGAATTTTAAATAATGATTCTTTTCTTTTCTTTTTCTTTCTAGAAACGAAAGGTCGCAAGAAAAGGAAACCGTACACACGCTATCAGACCATGGTGTTAGAAAACGAATTCCTGAATAGTTCGTACATCACACGTCAGAAACGATGGGAAATTTCGTGTAAGTTACAGCTGACAGAACGACAAGTAAAAGTCTGGTTTCAGAACAGACGGATGAAACGCAAGAAGCTCAACGAACGCGCGAAGGCACGGCTCAGAGAGGACCAGGAAAACAAGGATCAAGCATAGGGATAGTTGACATGGCAACAACGATCACCTCACAGTTAAAAAAAGAAAAAAAAAGAAATTAAATAAAAAACTCATTAAATAGAAAAGAATTAAACACGGAAGGAATCGGAGAAATAAAATAGTATTCACAGCAGCGAAGAAAAAAAAGGTAGTACTGAATAAGCGTAAAATGCAGTTGATCCAGTGTTAAAACAAAGGAAACAATATAAATTGTTTGCTTGTCGGTAATTCCATCAAGAATAGTACGAGAAAGCCAACAATCGAACGTTTCCCAAGTCAGCTATTGACAACCTCACGCACGCACACACACTCACAACACGCACACACAGAAACACACAGATTTTATATATATATATATATATATATATATATATATATATATATATATTATGAGTTGATACTTACGGACACACAAGTAATCACTACAAAAGATGCATATATGTTTCGATGCCTAAATGTAAGCATCTCATCAGGTGAAGAACAAAGATGGTTATAAACGATTTTATTTAAAACTTTGTTCCTCACCTGATGAGATGCTTACATTTAGCCATCGAAACACATAGGCATCTTTTGTAGTGTTTATTTGTTTGTCCCTATGTAACAACTTATAATAAATAACTATTGTTTTACACTTGGTATTGAGCCCCCTTTTAAATTCATATTTTGAACTTTTGAATTTATATTATTTTCGTTCTTATTACATTTGTATACACACACACACAAACACGCGCGCACACACACACACACACACACACACATATATATATATATATAAATATATATATAATTAAACAAGTTTGTTAAATTCATACGAAAATGCATGTTTAAATAATTTTTATTGTGCTTTTGACTTTTTCGAATCAGCTGCTGTTCATCTAAGTCAAAATTGTGGATAACTTCACCAAAGTTAATGTTTTGTTAAAGTAATTTCAACTGTCCCAGTCTTCACCAAAAACTGTTATTTTGTCAGTATTGTAGAGAATATTTTGTTGGCATATTTCTGGTACGCTTGAATTGAAATTCATTCAAATTAAGTGACGTCATGTGTAAAAATGTTTCACAGCTCAACAGATATTAAAGTATAAAATATTTATAATTTCACACGTATATTATGTATTTTATACACACTTTAATATACTTTGATGAGTAATATGTGTATGAAATGATAATAGAAATATTTATTTTTAATGCCATTGAAGTAATGTGAATAATTTTACACATGACTTTACATAAGTTATTCTTTGATTTATACAATTTGAATTATAGCTTTCTTAAAAATGATAATATGCTTATCATACTGATAGCATAGAGTTCATGATAAGGAACTACGAAGACTAATATATTCTTCCATGTTGTGTTCCTTCAGAATGTGAGAAATTATAGCTCACTACAACATTCTATCCTTTGTAGCTTTTAGCAATATTTGTCATTCTACAATTTCTCCTACACAGAACGTTCCGCTGTATGTTCACGCAAGCTTGTCGGGTCGGTGGTCAGCTACCTTCTACTGTCATTTTTAAATTCGTTATGTCCTTTGAATGTCAACAGTCTGAATTACTTGAAAGAAAAAATAACAAACCCTGAACTTTGAACACTTAATCCGCAATTCTGTTTCCGATGTGCAACATCTTATTCGAAAATTGTAAAATAAACATTTAAATAGACAGAATGTTTGTTAAATGTAGCACAATTTGTTAACATGTATTCTTGCTATATACACTCCAAATACAAATATAAATATATAAATATATATATATATATATATTAAATACGACAAATATTTTAATATATTTTCTGTTTAAACGTTATTTTAGTTGATACAACTTATTTGATTAAATACTCTGTTCCTAATTAAACAGTATTAATTACATTTACCGGCTTGAATTTTTGGGAAAATTTTTGAGAAATTATGCAATCCTTGACAAGACTCGAACCTGTATCCCAGATGGAAACCGTCATTTAGTCTTGCCTGCGGTTAACCATTCAGCTACAGACAATTTTTCGGCTAGCAAAGTGTCCTTATAAGCAGAAATTTGGACATTCCTAACCTGATAGTTCTCTATGAATGAATGGGAAGAACAAATGACAGTTTCTATCTGGGATTGAGGTTCGATTCCTGTCGGAGGACGCATATTTTCTACGCAATTTTTTCGAATATACAGGCCGTCAAATGCAATTAATAATGTTTAATTAAAACAGAGCATTTACTCAAATGTATAAGCAGTACATACGTCCTGCCACATATGTTTATGTCATGCATTTGTCACCTCCAACACATATTAATGTTTCCAAACAAGCATTTTTATTATATGAATATTTGTGATCATCACTTTCTAGCACCCTTCCGGTTATTTGCATTGGGTGGTTCTGACCCTGCTCAGCATCCCCGCTTGTGTAGGTATGTGAAAGACGCTTTATTTTTCACATGTCATCGCAACAAGAGATGAGGAAAATGACCAGAGAGGCATGATGCAAAAGTATTGATCACAAAAATTCAAACGATTTATACACATATTGAAACAAACATCAGCCTTCTTGTACCTAGACTAGAAAAGTTCTTATAAAATCCAAAATCAACAGTCTAAGTTTGTCTATTATGCTAAAAATAATGCAGCCTAAAGAATCCCGCTCTCGCACAAGTTGGCACGCAAACACATAAATTCATATAAAGATGAGATTAGAAATATATATATATATATATATATATATGAATAGAAATATGCAGACATATAATTCTTATTACCCTAAACACGAGTTATGTGGATACACTTATTAGTGTAGAAGTACTGTTTATATACATACATACATACATACATATATATATATATATATATATATATATATATATATATATATATATATATATTCTTCAGAGACAGTCATTCACTCCTGTAGTTCAATGCTACAAACAAACAGGGATTTTTTTTCTGATGATGGCCATGCTGGCCGAAACTAGTCGAGCAACTTAATCGAAATAATAAAACAAAAATATTAATATAGAAACCAGTGTGTCTGAATTTTAAAAAATATTTTATTATTCAAAACACAAACACACACACACACACACACACACACACACACACACACACACATATATATATATATATATATATATATATATATATATATATATATATATATATATATATATATATACATACACACACACACATTTATAATTGTATATAATATATTATAAATGTGAATATATATGTGTGTGTATGTTCAGGCGCACATTTATATATATATATATATATATATATATATATATATATATATATATATATATATATATAACAATCTATATAATCAGTTAAATGCAAAATAAAATTAATCCTTGATAATGGTAAAAGTCTACCTGAAAGCACTTTGAAAACATTCGGTCAATTTTTATATGATTTATGTCCTGAAATGGAAAAAAAACAGTATACGAACACATGAGAAATTATATAAAAAAAATCAACCACTACACCATGTCAGTTGTTTTCGATTAAAGTTGCATATATATATATATATATATATATATATATATATATATATATATATTAATCTATCTATATTACCTCGCAGAAGATGCTTTCGAAAGAATTCATAAAAACAATTTGCTCTCTGGTACGGTTTTCCGGGGAACCTACCCTAGAACCCGGCCTGTCATTGAGCGCTCGGCTATCGAGAACAGGCCTAATCAGACATTGGGGATGCGGAGAACACGTCTTGTTTATTAATGTTCACGAGTGTGCAGGCCGGTATACCTAATTCATACAGTTTACATCAAAATATAATAAAAAAGAAAATAAATATAACAAAGTCAGGAACTCTATTCAAACACGTGTTTCTGCAAAATAAATGCTGAGACTAACAAGAAATAATTTCTGACTAAAAATAAAATTCTATCAAAGCCCTAGAAAAACACACGGACACAAACACATATATATATACATTTATATATTTATCTATATTAATATAAAATAAATCATGGTGGATGATGATTGCAATTAGCATGAAACAGTCTATCGTCGCTGAGTGTTGACTTCAATGTTCACTTTTTTATATATACATACGCTCTATCTCTGATTTTGAGCACTTTATCCCGTAAATATGGCACAGCTTAAACTATATTTGTACTACACACAAACACACAAACAACTCCACATGCATACATACATACATATATATATATATATATATATATATATATATATATATATATATATATATATATATATATATATATGTCAAATGAATGGAAACGCTCTGTGCAAATCATTTATGTGTTTTGTAATCCGACTTAATCGGACTAAAAGTAATGTCTGTGGAATTATATGTGCATGAAAACTAGAGGGGAATATTTTTACTTTCACTCATTTTTTCATTCATCCATGTACCTAACTTTTTTCTGACATACGGAAATTTATATATGTCCACACGCGCGCACACACACACACACGCATAAACACACACGCACACACGCATAAACACACACGCACGCACGCACACACACACACACACACACACACACACACACACACACACACACACACACACACACACATATATATATATATATATATATATATATATATATATATTATGTGAAGTAAATATATATTTATGTATTTATAAGTATTATTTATCGTGCGAATACATAGGAAATGAAAACGGACATATTTTAACACTGGCAACAGAGTCCTGCCCTTTGGCAGTTGATAGTTGAGCATCTCATGTCTCTGATTGTAGTTTGTGGCTAGTATACAATCCTGTTTTTTGAGTTTTGTGTTTCATCTCAAACAGGCAGATTCGCCTCATTTTGAACATTTTTGTGACGCGAGTTTCCTACCTCGATTTCCACACACCTTTGATCTTGCGTCAGTTTAGGAAATATTCTCGATAGAGGATGAATGTATTTCAAAATGATTCGAAAATCCCGTAGACACATCATAAGAAAACAAGTAGCAATGGTTAAAATTATGACAGCGAACATACCGACTTCCATCTCACAT